TAAATGTTTCTGAGAGGCGACTCAGCATCACTAATCACACATCCGACGTTGTTACGAATATGTAACATTTAGAAAGGCAATGTGTGTAGATCTTTGTAAGATCTGCATCACTTTTGATCATGATCAAACATAAATATCAATGATTGGTGACAGCTTGTTTAAGGACTTGAAAAATTTAACTGGACTATCAGATAATTCAGTCGAGTGCTTAGATACAATGCCAGTAGCACAGTCAGATTCCCCATTCAGGAATGCGGTGAAAATTAATCGGGGATTTACTTGAAATGAATCAAACTCCGTTATGTATAGCAGTCTAGGAATTTACCCTGGAAGGGAACTTGAGAATTCTGTGCGATTAAAAGTTAATGTTGATTGCATTTATCCACAAAGAATTGACTCATTTGATAGTACAGACGAAATCTTGACAGCAAACTCCCTGATCACTGAATAAAATTTTTGATTTGCTTCTGATATGTCGCGTACAAGCACCATGTTTTCGAAAGAATGGAATGGCAGTAGCGTAGAATGTTGTAGGAGAGAAGAACAACTGTATTCTATGCGGCCAATGAGGGCATGAAGGCGAGAAGAAACACTGCTTCACAATCACAGTTTTTCAGAGTAACTCATTCCCATCGAGTCACGTGAATCATTTGCATTACGATATGAAACCACTAATGTTTCTATATACACAGTGCTGCGCGAACGAGAACTATAACTTAAAATGGCCGGAGTTCAGTTGTTGCAGTGGGGGTGAGATATAAACTTTGAATCCTTTGAATACTTTCGAATATGGTGAGCTTGGTGGTATGACACTGGTGTTTAAAAAATTAGAATTCCTTCTAAAACAAAAATTAACGGACTAGCGAAAGTTGGAAAAACACTAGCACATTGAAATGTTACCAGAACAAAGTAGATACAGTAAACACAAACAATTAACTTTACAAAAAAATAAACTTCGTTAGTAGTGAATCAGGTGGTCAGTGGGGAAATATCGACCACTGGACTACTGAGTGGATAGTCAATATGTATAAATACAAAGTTAAACACCTTCTACCTTTTCCGTATTTGTTGGATTCTCGAGTCCAATTTGAATTTTGTTGACAAACAGAGAAGATTAAATAGCGATTGGCTACCAACTTTTCAGTGACAATAATTGAGATAAAGCACCGACAGATCAAGTTATGCTGCTTTATCAAAATTCACTATCTTGAGTCGGAGGATTAGGTTCAGGTGATACGGAGAATTAGGTTCGTAAAACGTCATTCAGAGTTGACCCATCATTTTATCGGCTAAATGCATCACTCAATAAAACAATCATAAACAGTGTGAGAACTAAGTTTGGATGGCCTGCGAGTTATTATCGATAAGATAGTCAATGATTTAATGAGTTATAATTGCGAAGTTGAACTGATCGTTTGAGATCAAATGGAAATCAATCGTGTGGTTGAAATACGGGCATCTAGAATTTTATGAACGGATGCAAAAATGAATCGCGTCGTTAGCGCGATCGGGAATTTTGAACTAAAAAACAGTGATCGAAACTAATTTAAGCTATGATTTGTTGCTGAGGATGACTTCTGAATCTAACACTGTGATTTACATTCCTACCGAGAGTTGATTTATCGAAGAAAAAACAGCAGAAATCAGAAAAGAAAAACAAATTGCGACGTATGAGTACCGTCTACAAGATCATTGTAAACGTTTCTCTCAATTTTGCGGTTATGTTCAAAATCTACCGGCATAATGTGAAAGTGGTATAACTCGTCTCTTCTGCATCCAACCTGGGTTAATTCATTGCTCCAAACAAATACGACACGTTTAGCTATGTTTCGCATAACAACACTCTTGTCGACAGCGTTCAATTTGCTTATGTTGATATTTGTACAAGCGAATTCAAAAGAATCAATCACTCATCAAGTTAAGAGACCTGATAACGTGTTATTAACCTTCATTGTTGGATTTTGAAAATTACATGCGAGTTGGAAAGATTAGTCCGAAAAAGGAGCTGAACTCAACTGTTGGGGAGCATTTTGGATGCAGTGATGAAATACTCCTTAATACGATAATAATATTTCTTGGACTGGTATGTAGTGATGGGCATGATCCTACGAACTTTTCCATTGAGAAGGTGTATCGTTTTTTAATTTTTCTCATTATCCGGAGAGACTTTCAAATATCGCATTGTTCAATAATTGTTACCATTGACCACCATCTCTAGCCACATCAGACCCCATAACTTACCAACCATAACTTACCCGTTCTGCTGAGCTGCATCGTTATTACAACTGGTCGTCTCTCTCAATTCTTGCAATCACATGGAAGTTTACCATTTGTCCATATAGGATTTCGAATATCTTTTCATTGTTGCTGCTAAAGAAATCATTGTTGCCTTGACTAATTTGACCGTTCTACTTGATGAAGCTGAATCCGAACTGTAAGACGGTATGTACTATAAATCCTGACTCGAGGAATGTGCAGAGAGAGAAGAGATCAACAGTTGGTCATATTTGAGATATTGCAAACCAAATTTTATGATAAATCATACGCAGTGGGGTTATTTTTGGAGTGCATGAAAATCCTTATCAAAAAGCGTTCTCTGTTTGAGGATTGTGGTGAACATTTTCAGAGATCACCTCGCCGAAGTGGTAATATTCATGAAATTTGGTGATAGTTGCGCATACAAGGCGCGATTACAGTATGATGGAAATCTTGTTCGAGAAGTTTAGTGTTGTTCAGATTGTTGAATACCTCATGAATACGTCTAGGAAAAAAGTACTCAACGGATCATGTGGGATCCAGAGTGATGGACCCATTTATTTCAGTTGATAATAGAATGCATTTCATTCATAGTGCAATCCAAGTGGAGAGACTGCGGTATGGATTCATGTCCTTTGGTATTGGAATGTATTTGATCTTTACGGCAATCCATATGAAAGATGTCCAGTATGGAATCGTTTTAGTTGGTATTTGAATGCATTTGACCCATGCTTCAATCCAGGTGAAGCCTGTGGTGTATGGATTTATTCAGGTAGTATTAGTGTGCATTTGACTTCCAGTGTACAATAGGCCAATACTCTTCAGTTTGGTTTCATTTCAGTGAGTATAACTTTGCAATTGACCTATTCTTCACCTCAAGTGAATTGATTATATTCGTACTACGAATCCAAACTATACCCATTTGTTACTTAGTGTTTATCATTGGTTTATTTCTCGTTGCATGCATCACAATTAGCTGCGAGCATGTTTATTCACTCGAATTGAATTAATTTCAGTTGAAATACTTCTCCTTGTTCGAGAAAGCAGTTGTTAATGTGCGGAGAGAGTTGTGGCACACTGTCTTCATGCATGCGATGGCTGATGCTTTTTATTTGTGTGTTACGCCACTCCCCTTTCCATCTTGATCTAATCTACAATATTACCGGTAATGCTGACTTTTTCGATTGATCGTCGTATTCGACCGGTCTGGTCATGACGTTATGTACTTGAATAAAAACGTTAGTGAATAACTGTAAATGTTTCCGTTTTTGACGTCTACTCTACCTTGAACAGTGTTTAGAGAAATGCGTGAAATTACAGTGGAAAAGATGAACGATCAGTGGATAAATGCGCTCTATGAAGCCTTTACGAAAAACCCCCGTGAAAACAGTCATGTTCTTTCAATTCAAAGTCATGTTGTGCATGGTTATGTTGGTAATAAATGCAGCGTCTTTCCCTTACAAGTTTGTTTTATTCATCTTTCAACCAGCAATTGAAAGTCCTGTAAGGGGACTAAAAATTCAGGCAATCCAGTTTTAACATATGCATTTTCCAGTTGCATGGCTTCGAAGTGGATGCAATCAATTCAGTACAATTCTCTAATCACGCAGGTATTCTCTTCGAGAATGTCGGTAAGCCCTGAGCAAAAATAGTAATTGCTTATAGCATGCCATTCTCTTCACGGTTACTAACCTAAGGTTATTTCCTTTTTGCACACTGCTTCACTTGCGTATGAGAAATGTAAACGAATTGTTTAGCTGGCAGTGTTGCTTTAGAGTTGTGTATTTATTGCCTATTCGCACGATTATTAACGAATCCATTGTGCTGATTACCGTAACGCTATCTCAGGATATAAACATGTAAAAGGACAAAGGTTAAATGACGAACAATTATCCGAATTATATGAGGGGCTGAAACTAAATGATGTCAATGTTTATTCTCACATTTTAACAGGTGAATAATTGTTATCAAACTACATATTCTATGATTTTAGCAATTGATTTACAATGCGTGCAGGCGGCTTCATTATTTCATCCGTACGACTGTAGATCACTGTAAGATATTCGAAATTCGTTCCAAAAATATAGTTTTTAAAGAGCTACAAATTCATTGTTGTTTCATTAATGTTGGCATTATTGTTCAAGTTTATAATTTAAGGATATTGCGGCAACCCTTCATTTCTGATGAAAATCGCGGATATTGTGAAGGACGTTAGGACGAAGAATCCTGACGTGATTTTTAGTAAGTTATCTTTTGTTAAGCTGTCGATTTATCAGGAAATTTTCATGAATGATAAAATCTGTTTTCAGTATGTGATCCAGTACTCGGTGACAATGGGCGTTATGTATGTTCCTATTACAGTGTTGTTATTTCTCGTTATATTCAGTGTTGTTCTGTACTAAAAATGACTTCATTTGTGGAATATCTGTTATTTTTACATTAAATATATGAATGTGAGCCGTTCTGAAAGGAGTATACATTACAACAAGGCTAATATATAGTTAAGCCAATTTCATTCAAAACCATATGAATTGGCCCGTAATCAGGGTTTTCATTAGGATGAGAATAGTGGGTGTGGCATCGCATAGTGGAGAGGGGAATTCCTACCGTTCCTTTGTACCTGCTTATTTAGTTTTGGAACTCAGTGGTTTGAATGATTTTCAGTATGCACCAAAAGAATTGATGCCTATCTATCGAGACACGCTTATTCCACTTGCAAATGTCATCACTCCAAACGTCTTTGAACTCTCGTTGGTTTCGTTATCATTTATATTTGCATTTCTGATATTTTGTATTCTCTGCTGCACTCAGGAGATTTTTCTGTTGTGAATGTTCAAAAATTGTCATGAAAAGCCGAATGTTGTTTAAACAAAAGTTGTGCTACTGAGTTTTGATGTAAATGAACTTAACTTGCAGTGAACTGTCGGGTGAATCAATCACGAATGAAATGGAATGTTTGAATGCAATTGATAAGATGCATGAAAAAGGTGTTGAAACAGTGGTTGTAACAAGTGGTCTTGAAACGGAAACAACTAAGTTTTGTTATGGGTCGAAGATTACTGGTTCGCTTTTTTATAATTCATTTATTTTATCTCTTATTTGATATCAATATTCGTCCATAGTTTTGTTGTCTTAGCATTGAATTATAGAAGCAGGCAAACCACCAGTACAGTATCGATTCGATATACCCATAATTCCGGGTATGTTCGTTGGTACAGGTGATGTATTTTCGAGTTTATTGTTGGTATGGCTCGAGAAATTAGATGGAGATCTGAAGGGTGCTATCGAAAAAGTTATTGGCAGTTTACAAGGACTTCTCAGACTTACTACGCGTGATCTTTACGGTATATTTATCTATCTTATTCTATTTAAGTTTTCGACATATAATCGTAATTCCAACAAGGTGGGTCTATTCCATCATGCTTGATTTAAGAATTATAATCGTGGGGATATTTCGGTAGAAGTCATCTTCAATTGATTCGTTGGAAATTAGAATGTTGGCCACTCGCATTATGTGGTGGATATACAATTCGTTCAGAAAGAACCTGTCAAATTTAAATTTGTGTCTTCAATAATTATTGCCATAAGGTAGCTGATATAAATATGAATAATGAGGTAGTTTATTCGTGTTCAGCGTCAAACCCTGGTCCAGAATTTCGACCAGACGTTCGTGAACTGGAACTGCGTATGATCCAGAGTCGCGCAGATCTGCTTGTGCCACGTTTCCAAATCAAAACAACACAGCTTCGGAAATAGACAAATACCACAAGCAGGAATAGTAGTACTTCGTGAATTTATTGCACTGTTTTGTATTCAAATTATGTGTCATCTAATCTGAAGCCGCAAAACGTTTTTTGATCTGTGATAATTGATAACATTACTGTTTCTGTTAGTAGCGAAATTTTTGGTTGTGATGATAATTACATCAAATAGCTTTTGTTATTGGATAGTTTTCATTTTTTGAATGGATTAATTTTCTTCCACATTTGATTTATTTGTTCATCTACTCAAGTCCATGTTCATACTGCGTTTTGACATAGTAACTGTTATGTTGTAGCAATGGTTATTTATGTTTCAATAATTCGATTATGTTGTTCGCTCTGTATTGTTGCAATATTATGAGAGTAATGGACGAGTGAATTTCAGAAAATTTATTGGTGTGTGATCTTCGATGAACTGGTTAATGAATATTCACATGTGATTTTTCATTTTTTGTGCGATTCATGGATGTTCTTTTGTAACTCGAGCCGATCCCTTGAAGTGAAATTTGCGTGTTCAAAATGCTCTTCATAGTGCTGTCGTACCACCCACAATAGCATTTGATTAAATGTTTGATGTCATTTCTTAAAAGCATCGACTCTTTCAAATTTACTTGCTTTCACCTCATCGCATTCCATTCAAAGCTTTTCTCATGCATTACTCTCGTAGTTTACATGAATACGACAATTCTAAAAGTTTCAAACACCTCACCTCATTATTACCAATGTTGCCTGTTATGTCGACACTGATGTTTGTACGTTCATACTTGAATTGAATTAATAGTCACCTTGCTCATCCCGCTAAGTTGTATGTGCTTAATTTTCATACTTTTTTTTCGTTGATGTTTTTACCCATTATCTTATTTCGTATAGAGTTGAAGCATTTGTATATGATCGTGAACGTGGTTATTGAAGAACAACTTTTTGTTTCATCATGGGAATTCTCCTTTGTTATGAACGTAAATCTGATACTTTCGTATAAAGATATATTAGTCGATTTGTTATTTGCATCTAGAGTTAACGTTATTCCAACAACTGCGGAATTTGATAGGGCATCGGATTCCATGCATCTTTGTTTGTTCCTACTTCTGATCTCATCTTGAAATTTTGGTATTTTTGTCTGGTAGCAAAGAGATCGTTTTGAATGAGCAGTAGTGATTCATTTAAGACCGCCTTGAAGTGGTCATTGCTGATTATTCAATCGCTTTCGTTGTTGGCTTACTGCTTCTTGTTATAAATGCGCTTGAAGTGTTAGATTAGATGTCGATTTGTACCAACATCTGTTACGGTAGACTAAAAGTTTTATTTCATGGTGCTATTTCTCACTGAAATGCAGCGAACCTTACGACTGGTAATAAGAACGACGCGAAATAAATTCTAATTAGACTATTCATTATCCTGTAGAGATGGTATTCACAATCAGTGTGTCTCGTATTGCGAGAAGACAAAACATTTTTTCTTGCTAATCTCGAAATCTTTGCTGATCCGTTATCA